ACTTCTCACCGCCCCTCCCAACGCAGCCCACCATTACTGGGTTTTGATGTAGAGATATCGTTCGCTGTAAGCCTTAGTGTTACTTCTCGTTTGTGTAGTGTTTCTTTGGTTTAAAGAAACAGACCGCATGAGATCGTCTCTTGTGACTGAGTCTCTCTCGTGTGCTCATCCGCTCTTATATATAGGGAGTGTCTTTGCGTGTGTGGAGGGCAAGGGATGCGTGTGCCGAGGGTGTCGAAGCCGGTTATATCTCTCTCTCTCTCTCTCTCTGTCTCTCTCTCTCTCTCTCTCTCTCTCTCTCTCTCTCTCTCTCTCTCTCTCTCTCTCTCTCTCTCTGTCTTTCTCTCTGTCTTTCTCTCTGTCTGTCTCTCTGCCTCTCTGTCTTTCTCTGTCTTTCTCTCTTTCTCTCTCTCTCTGTCTCTCTCTCTGCTGTGTGCACTCTTTCGCCTGAACGTTTTCAACGCCTACCGTATCTCTCCGTCGCAAAGTTCGGAACGCCAGGACCCACTTCAGTGGTGAGCACTCCGCTGACGATCAGTCGATCTCCTGCTGTAGCTTCATCTACCAGAAACCTTGACGCATTGAGCAGCAAGTGACGGGGCATATCACCAGTAGGCACCTGCGCGACAGCGGACCTCCACAAGGTGCTGCAGAGCAAGCCGTGAGTTTTGGTCGATGTCTTCCAAGACGTACCACAGACCAATAAAGAGCCTCTTCGTGAGTTGCAACTGGTGGCGCTAGGAGGTGGAGGGCACGGAAAAGGGAAAAACGGCCTTACGTCTTCAGGAAGCTCCTGCATTTTGAGCAGCTGGACGTCAAGAAATGTGCATTCGTTGCTAACGATGAAGTAGGGCTCCTGAGGCGCACGCAATGAGTGACACACACACACACAGAAGGCAGCCGCGCGCTCATGAGGCCGTTATTTTTGCCCGTTTCGTCGAAACGTGCGTGTTGTGAAGCACAAAGGCGACCGAGGTCGACCGCTAAGGGGGCCTCGCTCCGTGCAGCGCAGCGCATGCAATGCAACAGTGTGGCTTGATTGTGAACGGCAAAAAGGGGCACGCTGTTTGCCGTTCACAATCGAGCCACACTGTATCTGTCAGCGCTGCGTGCAGCGTGCACGAGACGCACGCAGATACGGAGTCGGTGAGCGAGAGCGAGAGAGAAACACGAACAGACAGACAGAGAGGAGAATGCGGAGGGGCCAAGCGCGCTGCGTAAGGGACGCTAAAACGCATGCACACGGCTGGCTGGCAGTTACGGCGCGAGGATAGACGTCTTACGGGCTTATTCTTGCACCCCAAGTCGGAGTCTCCTTGTGCAGATCCTGCTAGCTCTGAGGCTCTACAGAATCGAGGCATCTGGGGTTGTTCCCTCCATTCTGCTGCATGGATCGTCAACTTGTGGTTGCAAAAACGACATTGTATTGTTATTTTCTGACAGCACAAAAGCAAGCGCGCATGCGCAGATGTCTACAAGGCCCGCATGCCGCACGCTGTGTTTGTCCCCACAAGGCCCGACGCGCTAGGGGGGCACACCTCAAGGTGGCCTTCAGTCCCCTGCATGCATGCAGCAGCCGCTTGCTTAGGCGGCTGCTGCATGCATGCTGGAGGATGCAGACTAGGAGCTGTGGCTCAGCACTCGCGCGAGGAGTCGAGCAAGGGCCTTGCGCCCTCGAGAATGATTGCCCTTTGCTCTTCTGTTGTGCCTGCCTGTCGTTGGCAGCTGCTCTTTTTACTGCTCTCTCAACTCGAGCCCAGGGAATAGGGAGACGTGTGCGGAGGCGTTTGAAGCACCTGCATGCGGCTCATTGGGGCCTTGCAGCTAATGACGATCCCAGTAGTTACAACAAACTGTTCTTGCTGCTGAGACAGGAGACTCCGGATGGGCGTAGGCTTCTTTCCCGAATCCACCAGGTTGATTTGCACATCGAAGGCACGCTGCCTCTTGCCAGACAGTCCCTGGGGCCCCTCTGGGGCCCCTTGGACTATGGCGCTCTTCGCCGCAATCTCCTCGCAAGCCTTTTCACAAACGGGCAAGTATACGAGCGGCCTTTCCCTGAGACACCTGGCCAGTCTGTGAGCAAAGTCTGGAGGCGCCCTGTGTCTGTCCCGACCGCAGAGAGGCGTATTGACGCATTCCAAATCAGCGGGCTGAACTCTGTGCTGGTATTCGATCAAATCAAAGAGGTCGAGCTCCAACAGGCACTTGCTGCTCTTCTCTGCTTCTGCAAGAAGCTTGCGCCGCAGTGCCCCACTCCCGTGATGTAAGTACTGCTCGAAAAAGAGTCGGGCCTGCTTTAAAGATGGAAGAGACGCGGGGCCTCCTTCCTCTGCCTCGAAGCCATGGGGATCCGATCTGTTGTTGGAGTAAAACACCCGCTCACCCTCGAACATCTTGGGAGAGAGGACGGAGGGGAAGCGACACTAAGACAAATATATGGGCACCCGAGACACCGCGAAAGGCTTTTTTTAACTCCACTGGGGCGGCAAGCCGCGTAGAAGGCCTCGGATGGTGATACCCGGCATACAGAACACCAACCCCCACCCCCCTAAAACGCGAAGGAAGGGCTTACAAGGGACCTCCCTGCTCTCTGCGCAGGAAATGAGGAAGAAGCAACCAGAATGAAGCATACAAAGCAGTAGAAAAGTACAAACATAAAGTCTGTGCACCCATTCCTATTATCCCCTTCCAATGGACAACCGAAGTATTCCTGGGGCTCCCCAGCTGGCAGCGAAGCCGGGAAGGGGTTGCGCGTGGTGTTTCTTACACTCCCGACCCTCCCGAAAGGAATAAGCACTTCGAGTCATTGCTGCACTCGAATTCAAGAATCAATAGTATTTATTGTGAGCAGGGCTATTTCAACAGCACGAAACACAAGACACATACCTCAATGTACGTAGTTCCATGCGTGCCTGCCGGCGAAACACCCATTAGTCCTGTAGAACACGCTGTAGCTCCTACTTGCCATATGGCTCCAAGAAAGAGAAACCAGCCACATTTTGACTACAAATAGTGCAACATGGGGCGATGAACACAGTGGTTGGGTAAAAGACTTTCAAACAAACAGTGATAGGCTCCGGGAAACAGGAGGGCCGTTCCGGGAATTGAACCCGGGACCTCTCGCACCCAAAGCGAGAATCATACCACTAGACTAAACGGCCTCGCGCTTCTTCCCACTAAACGTCTCATTATGGAGATTTCGCACTCGGTGCTCCGAAAGGTGTCTACGGAACTAGGGAAAACCTCCATCCCCTCACTAGCAAAGTCGTGCGTAGAGATTCCTTTATGTGTATCTGGCTTTAGATGGCTGATATAAAAATTACGTAGCCCCCGTAGGGTCGGGAAAGGACCGGGGCATTGTAGCGGGGCAAGCCACAGTGTTGTACACTCTACTACAATAGTTGCATTTTGCTTATAATTTGCGGTCACTCTTTTGCTTTCACTGGTCGAATGTTCTATTTATTGCAAAGGGCCGTAAACCCAACGCAGTGCAAATCAATTTTCGCCCTAGTTTTGTAAATCGTACTTGAATGCACCCGGGAATGCCCTTAGTGCTTTGAACGTGTAGCAACGTGCAACCAAGCTGTTTCTATCGGCTCATGTTGGAACCTTGAAGGTCGAGAAAACGAGAAGGGAGCTCTTGTGGAAAAGCAATTCACGCACACCTCGATAGCGCACTAACAAGCGTATGTTGAGTATTGGGTTAGGTGTGTGCCAGCAGATACCTTGGGTGGAACGTTGCATTTGATGGCACCGAATGATTCGATGCGGCTGGCTGTGGATGCAGTGAAATGTCCTGTTTTCCCCACAACAGTCGTCCTAATACGATCAGCTCATTTAGTACGTGGATAATTTGCTTTTCGTTCCCACTAGCATGAAAGCAAATTCCACTGGTAATGGAGTAACGAGTGGCACAAAACCTGGTGGGGCGGCAGAGGCCGGCACTCAAATTGGTGAGGCGGCAGAAAGCGGCCCACAAACTAGTCTGAACGCAGCTGACCCCCAACTGGTGAAAAGGCATGATTTGCCAGCCAAGAAATGTGTATAGATATGGCGATGAGGTTTTACCTACTAGAACAACATGGCAACCTGAGAAAACGAAAAAATACTCGCAGATTTTATCAGTAGCTTGGAAGTGTACCTTGTACAGATCAGATGAAGAGAAACGGGTAATCCTTACGGCATGAGCACTGGAGAAGGCAGTACGTTCGTGGGCGCTCCATTCATGCAGCAAAATGGTTCGCTTGAAGGGATTGTTACAATTCAAGCCTTCATGCAAGCCTTAACCCATCCGTGTACGCCAAGATTAGCTCAACAACAAGCGCTAAGAATTGGAGAGGCGCAAGTACGGCGACTTATCAACAATATGGTACATCGCGGCACCCAAAACTTTGGATCACAAAGGCCATTATGTAGACGAAAAGCCGTTTTGTCAGTGGCTCGTCTCAAGTCTGTTCGAAATGATGTGTTGGAGGGTCGCGGGGTGGGAATGAACTCACTCATTGAACATCCGACCAGTGGGGCAAACCAACTACAAATGGCGGACCAGCAGACGTGTTTAGAGCGAATGGGCACAACTCCTGCTTAACTGGTTGAAAAAAAGCCAAATTGGGACTTAGAGCCTATATATGTGGAGCTAGGTCGATTAACTTTCGCCTGCAGTCTAAGGTGGGCGCGAAAAGGGAGCCAGATAGGACCAGCACTTCTAGAGGAACCAGACAACCCCAACACCGCATCTGCTCTCATTATGGAGCATTCGATCATACAATCGGGAACTGCACGCGCTTGCAAAATGCCAATAACGACGACAACAGGATTGATCCCAGCTGGAGCTGGCTGCCTGTCGAGCGCTGAAGGAGCATCAGGAAACGGAAATCCCCACGCAGCCTGCGGTGCACTAGAACAGTTGGCGCCCTACTGCCAATCAGTTCTGTGGCGGTACAGGCTAACATTAATAGTCAAGAACTGTTGGTGCTACTTGGCGCTGCATAGGAAATGGATCAGATATTCGAGGAGGCAGCACAGTGGTGCATTCTGCCTGCAAACTCGTCAGTGCAGTCCCGTAGGCTCAGGGTTGCTGACGGCTAGCAGAACGCAGCGACTCGCAGGGCTGCGGCAGTTTAATGCTACTTCAGTCAAAATTAGATTATATAACTCTGCTCCCTAACCTCTGTGGTGGCCCTATGCATCATGACGTACTCCCAGGGGTGCCATTGGTGACTCCGTGGAAGGCGTCGGAAGGCGCGCGTGAGGCCATAGCTGCGCGTTGTGGAGGTTGGAGTGGCAGGAAGCGGTAGGAAGAAGCGCTTCGTGCGGGGCTCAACCGCATCTGCTGCATATCTGATGAGTAGTGTAGAGTACGTTCCACAACAAGATGAGGCAGAGCTTCTATGCTGGCGGCTGAGCAGCACAGTACGAGAAGATGGTTCTAAGCCTGCATCGGGTCCTAGTGCCTCTGCAACTGCATTTTTTGCTGAAGTACATGATTGAATGTCAAGCCGAAAAATAGCATGAGTGTGTTAAAATTAAGTAGAAGTTTGTGGGTTATTGGTGAGCTGCGAGTAGGTTCACCACCTGCTAGTCATCCAGTGCGCCGTATCGTGCAAAAACCCATGGCCGCCCAAAGCCACGTTGTGCAGCATTGGAAGCCTCGAGAGCATGAAGAGGATCTTCATCGGCAGGCGAGTGCTTTTGTTGGATTAGCCAAAGCGCATGGATATACAAGGCATATCCTGTGTTGGTGCCGACGAAGGACGGAAGGTGGTGCATAAGCGTAAACCTTTGAACTCCAATCAAAACAACTAAGAGGCAAAACTTCGTATTTTCACATCTTGGCAGCATAGGCGACAATTTACGCGATCAGCTCTCTCTTAGGCAGTGGAATTCACAGATGCTTCCCAGCATATTTCGAGTAACCCTGATGGCAGGCAAACGACGTCGCTGCACATTCGCACTCGTAGTGTCGAGTTTGTATTTGGCGGAAGCGCGGCTGCAGGCTGCCTTACCTGTGGGAGCATTTGCAGCTCTGCTTGGTTTACATGACGAATCGCCATGGAGCGCATTCCTCGCGTTCCTCGGTGAGTGCCCTTTCCCAATGCAGGCTCTCCCTGAAATAGGTACCTTCAGCTCTGGATATTGCTGGACAATCTTCCGCTGATCATTGTTGAGGTCTGCACTACTCTCAGTTTTATGCAAAGGCAACCTGAGGTATGTTGTCCCTACATTCTTTGTCATGCCTCTTTGGGACTTTGACGTCCATTATGTTGCATGCACCGGCTGTATTTGCGTGCAGACTAGGCTCTAAGAGGCGCCGAGGCTTTCCTGAACTAGTGTGTATTGTGATTCCCTTTGCAAAGTATAAATGTCTTCTGTTATCGCGTAGCAAGAGGCTCACACATTCAGCGCTCCAACAACAGGGAGCCGTCGCACTGCCCCAGTCATGCCGGTAGACTCCCTCGGTCCTTATTGGCTATGGTGCAAGTCTGTCGTCCTGTTGATTCCACTTTAACGTTTGGTGCGCACGTTTGTTTTTCTCACGTGCACTGTTTGGCGTTTCTCCTTGCCTGGCTAGTGGCGAGAGTGCGAGGATTCTTTTCCGTTGTTTTGTATGCGAATAATCTCGAGGCACGGACAGGTAAGAAGAGGGCGTGTGTTTGTTTTGGAATGTGAGGGGGGAGTGTAGCACTTCCTGCTGCCCTAGTTGTATTCGGCAAAGTACTCTTGAAAAATTGACTAATCGGTTTGTTTCTGCGTACTCCTTTTTATTCAGAGCAGCATATGCTGAGTCCACGAAGTCTCAACGCTTTGTTGTTTGGCACTGATTGACCATAGCTTGCAGCGTACATGCACAATGCATTGAACCCTGTCGCATTAAGCTTCTGCTGAACTGCACTAAAGAGCACAAACGATAGCCAACACCAAGTAGTCAGTTGTCCCCTGAAACAGCTGTTTGGCAACAGGAAGTACTAAAGGGTAGACAATGCGGCGGCTCGAGTCCTCTGCAAAGGGGGCTACGGCAACGCAATACGTTCGCCCTGACCGGCGGTTACTAGAGCCTAAACGCAAAATTGGTACAGATAATGCTGAGCTGAATACCAAGACTTGAACGGAAGCAATCTAGGAGCAAATGCCACGTGTGGCTCAGTTCACAGCAACCATGACAGTCTTCAAGCAGCTTTCCCGGGCATAATTACTTGCGCTTCCCGTGCTACATGTAGTAGCTGATTTTAGAGCAATTAAATGCTTACAGCCCCATTATTTAATACTGTCGTTATTTCAAGTGATAGCGGCACACCCCTGTTGAGCCAGTCCCTTGCTGTGGGAACACATTCTGCGTAGTTCTTCAGGCACCAGCGGACAGTCGAGCTTACAATTCGGCTCCATGCCCAGAAAACAGATAATTCATTTTATGGAAAACTAACAGGCTATCGAAACCGTTTTTTCCGGAGCCCCTAAAAGAGCAATCTGTTAGAGGGGGCAGCGAGTTCAACGCCCTCACAGCAGCAGTGGGTGCCCTCACTGCTAGTGTAGCTTACGGCAGGGAAGCGAGAACGAAAAAAACCCGGCAACGCACGTGCTCCTTGTGCAAAATGTTGCATGTTCTTGCACTTTTGCTCAAGTTTTCTCTTTGTTGCGCCATAACCCGAGCCTTTGTTTGGTTTTCCACGGCGAAGAGTCTTGTAGGCATCGGCGTGGTCCAGATTGTGGTCTGCTTTGGGGAGCGTCTTTCACCGCTCTGTAAGGGACTCTAAGGGCCCCATCCCTTAGTCCCTGATCTCCAATTACTCTGCTTGATCGTCTTTCTGTACCGATGAAGGCCCCTCTGCTTCCTGCGCTGGCGTTTTTCGTCGTCGGTACTCCGTATCAGGTGCACCATGCCCACGCAGCTTCCGCATACTCGGATGCTTCATTGTTGGCGCAAGAGACGTTCACGTTTCCAGGAATTACGGATATAGATGATTCGCATGTTGCAGAGCGTGGAACGGGATATGAGGGGCCATTCGGCACGCCATACAACATGTATGGGAGGCCAGCCTATGCAGACGTGGAAATCGATGAGGATGTAGGAGTCAGCCGCATCTCCCGCCGTGGAAGTCTTCGAATGCCCGTACAGGGTCCCCCTGGATCCTCCCTTATAACGCTAGTCGAGGCACTTCGCAAGGCTTCTCCTGCACTTCGCAAGGCGCTTCTGCGCCATTTCTGCCACTCTGTTGCCCGTTTGAAAACGCTTCCTTCTGGAGTTGCACAGCCACATGAAAGGGCATTCTTGTTGGAGCGCAGAGTCACGGAGGGTGATGTTTCTACATTGGTGACTAAGCTGAACGGCGTTTTTGGTGCTATCACCAGTGGCGGCTTCACCAACTCTGCCGTGGCAGACACTCTGCTAGTTCCTTTTGCACGGCTGGTGGTAGAGACAGAGGGCATGCTGTTTAGCATTGCGCGAGAAGGTGATGCCGCGAAGATGGAATCTGCTTTGAGCCAGCTGTCTCTACCTCTGGTGAGGGGCTTGTCCCACATGGAGGCCCCTCACTCGGGGAGCACCTTAGTCGCCCTAGAACCCCTCAAGGCGTCTCTCACTAAACGAGCTAAAGAACTGGACGCAGAGCTGCTTGACGCTCAGGCTCACCCTGAGCGTGTGATATTGGAGTACTCTGCAGAACTGGACAATAGCCTGTTAAAGACGGAGCGGAAGATGGATTTGCCGGAGGGAGACTCCCATATGGCCGACGTATCGCCTCTCTCTGGAGCGCAACAGGCGAAATATCGAAAGCTGAAACGTATCAAATTCCTTTCGATGCTCTTCGTAGTAATTATTATCGCTGAGCTGACCTATATTGGGCTTGCTAAATTCAATAGCATGACGAAGACAGAACCACCGCAGGAGCAGGATGAAAGCTCAGATAGCTCCTTTTTCGAGGATGACATAGAGGATTTGGAAGACGGCTCTATAGATAACCTATCTAACGTCCAGGGAAGTGCCCGCCCTTTCCATAGTGAGCATGAAAACTGGATGCGAAGGGATCGGGGGCCGCTCGGAAACAGATCTCATGTCTACCTATATCCATCCTATAGGGGAGGACGTCTGTTCACAGATCTGACTCCGCCACGCGTCCATATTGGCACGTCCATGAGCCCGAATGCGAGCGCCTATAATCTCCTAAGCCAAAACCCTCCTCCTGGACCCCCCATTGCCGCCTTCGGGGCTCCTCCCACACGGTTTAACCGAAACGAACGTATGTTTCACTAGTGTTTCAATAGTTCACGAAGAAAGGGGAATTCTATCGTGTAGATTCTTACTGAAGAGCGCCCCACATCCTCCAGCAAGTAAAAGCAGAGCCTGAGGGGCTCAGCATTGTAGGCAGTGCACCGATGTATGATGAAGTGAACGTGAGCCCGACATGGTTGTATGTGCTAAAAGGATCTTTAGATTCATGTCGTGCGATAACTCATTATATCCGCCTGAATTTTCAGGGAAGACATAAGACCCCGTGCCTGTGCACCCGCTCGGGCGCGGCTTACGTGCATAACACTGACGGCTATGCAAGAGGCGTATGAGAGCCTAGCATGCTGCGGAAAGCACAGAGTCACTGTGCCTATTAGGAACCTTGGGTAACATGCTTTTGGTTTTCAACAGCCCAAGGCTACGTATGGAAGGTGTCTCAATTGGTTTCCGTCCCACTGTCCAATTTAACACAACAAACCCATGCCTAATTATTTTTGCATGTTAAAAGCTCCTTCAGTCTCCGTCGAGGAACACCTGATTCCAGACTTGATGCGTGCTCAAAAGAAAGGTACTGGGTGTCATTTTAAAGGCTTCCCTCCTGCTAGCACCCCTCAAAGGCCCAATAGAAGATGAGGGGGACAGCTAGATTGCACATTGCTGCACCCCAAAGCTCTCCGAGCATTGGCAGCTCAGGGTGCATAGAGCATCTTGCGCACATGCACAAAATATACGTCTAATTCAATTGAATCCAGGCTGCTGCAATAGATAAGGGTGAAGAATAGCCAAACTAGACTGTCTGTCGAACAAGTTCTTATTCTGAATAACCGTAAAGAAGAAACTACTGAGGCGTTGCGTAACACCCCCCATGTTCCGGCCGCGCAAGAGTTGAGCATGTGCTACAGAACCATTCAATCTGGAATTGCCTGCTTTCAGGGGCTAGTCTGTAAACCAATTCGTTCAGGAATCTGTTACCTGTGTACTCTATGCAGCATGCACTCATTGTGCCCGTGAGCTATGTTGCTATGTGTAGCCGTAATGCGTGCAAAAAGACAGGGGGCGGGGCCTGACGGAAGCTTTCAAAAGGTTCTTGATGAGACTTCTAGCTTGCGTGTGGCAGTCCGGGCAGTGAGCTTCCTTGTGGAGAGGGCAGGAGGAGCGCCACACTACAGCCGAACCGTGTACCGGCCAAGTTCCATATGAGCAATGTCTACTATGTCGGCTGTATATAACTAAGGATTGGTTTAAAATTGACTAATGGGTCAGTTTGTACACCGTATTGCACAGTACTGTTAGCTTGATAATAGAAGGCGCACCGTTGTGCGCATTGCAGTAGATGCTATGTGTAAGTAGCTGTGATTGCTCGGAGTGCATCAAAAGTGCAGCGACGCGCAACTTATCTGTCCCTTTTGCCTTATGTCGGAACTTTGAGTGGCGACAGTAAGAGAAGAAGGAAGCTCTTTGGCAAAGCACTTCGCATACACCTCAACGGGCCGCTATCCAGCTTGTATTGAGTATAGACTCAGGAGTCGGCCAACAAATACCTTACACGAAGTGCTCCTGTTGACCAACTAATCCTCGAAAAATCATTTTCATGCCAAGTAACTCCCATTATCCTCTGCGCATTGAGAAGCTCGTAGCCTGGTGCGTCAACGTCCAGGAATTTACTGTTCACCACTTCAATGATTTGATCACGTGCACCTGATACCTGACCGTCTCCCCTGGTCGCTTATTGGTCTCAAACTGAAGACTGGCGGTTTCTACAGTGGCACGAAGGAGTGGCACATTATTCATAGTTGCCATTTTTGTATGCCCATTTCTCTTTAACATCGTGTTGTACAGCTTTTGTGGGAGCCTGCGGCTTTTTTTTTCGTGTTTTTGTCAGTCCGCTCCTTTATATTGGAAAACAGCAACGACCGTTGGACCTGTGCCCTGTCCTTTTACCTCTTTCTGTAGCTGCATGAACACAAAAGCACTCTTGTGTAAGGCTCGTTTGCTTGCGGCACGTCAAGAAAGCTGTCTAGTATGCTTTTTCCTGCGTGCTGGTGTCTTTGGCATAGTCCCCCGCCTCTTGCAGAGAGTTCCCGTGCTGGTGAGATGAACTTGCCGGTGTCATCGCCTACAAATAAACAATTTTGCAGGTATAAGCATGCGCGTGCATAGAAATACGTATAAACGTACCCCTAGAGTTACATGCATGTTTCGCCAACATGAGTGTACAATAGACCGTCGATTCTGTTGCTGTCCACTGACAAGGCGGAGGCCGTCACATGGCATCATACATACAGCACCCATTCACGAAGGCCGTCTAGTGTCTCCTGTGTGGCGGCGCAGTCAGTCCTTTTTGCAGCAAACTTCGCGCTTTGGAAGCCTCTTCTTCACCAGTGAATATAGGAAGCTAGCAGCGCACTGAGATTGTTCGCCATGTCGCTTACCGTTTCAGGGCCTATAGCCCCTGCCCTCAAGCGCTTTTAGAGGCAGCAGCAGTCACGTTTTTGCAAGGCCTCCCAGGCTTTCGAAAAGCGGGGGTAAGAGGGTGCTCCAAGCAACAGAGCCTCTAATACCTCTCCATTGGCGTCTCGATGAAGGCGAAGAACTCGCTGCAACCATCCTTGTGACCCATATGCATCTTTTTGAGTTCCCCTCTGAGCCCTTCAGGCTCCTCCCACGGATACTATGCCCCTTCCTGCCGTCTACTGCAGGCGCCGTATTACCGGTGAAATCCACAGTGTCTAACCTCAGCTCGTAACACTCCATGACGCCACAGGGGGTAGGTGGCCTTCACAGACCCTAAAACGGAGGGAGTCGCCTGACCACTGTTGGGCTTCGCATTGGTTGCGCGCACCCTAACGTGCCATTCTTTAAGCTATTTTTCTCGGGCTTCTTAAGAGACCAGACCCTCTTTATAAAAATAAATCCGCGCGATCGGGGCGTCGAGGTGTATGTACACTCGGTGGTACAGCTTTACGAGCCGGCCGCACAGTTCGCTGGAAATGAACTGGGGTCTCTATAGAACGACGGCAAAAACAACCGCACTAGACATGCACACACACAGTAGCAGGAGGGAGATCGCATGCCAGGTGGCAGCTACACTAGTGCTCTCTATACGCCCTCTGCTCCCTGCAATCGTCCCTCCTGCTACGCATGGCAGCGACACTGCCGCAGCGCACACTACCCCACATCGCTGCACCCCCTCCCTCCCTGCAACCTAAGGCTGCACAGTACCCAAGAGAATAGGCTTCCTCTCAGAATTCGAGGCGGCCTGGGGCCCCACAGGAGGAAGGGCAGCGGCAGCTGGACTCGCAGCAGCCGTGCATGCAGCTGCTGGCGTTAGTACCTCGTCACCAGCTGCTGCGGATGGCAGCTGCTGATCTGGTAATGCAGCCAGATCAGTTTCCTGTGCGATTGCGGCTTCTGACCCTGCAAACGGGGTAGCTGTCGAGGGTGCGTCAGCCAGTGCTTCGCCACTCGAACTCTTTGAAAGGGGCACTGCTGCTGCTGCTGCTGCCACTGCTAAGGAAGCCATAGTGTCTTTCGCAGTCTCCCACGCCGCAGACGCAGATCCAGCGATTTCCCCGTTGCTCTGCAGCACTTGCTGCAGCGGCTTTTGTTGTTGAGCGGCGGCGTCACGGGCTACTGCTCCCGACACAAGAGCCTCCGCGGCTGCTGCTGCTTTTGCTGTTTTGATGTCTTCGGAGGATGACAGGTGGTCAGCGAAAGCATCAGCGGCAGCAGCGCTAGGGAGTTGCTGCACTTGGAACGCGAGTGGTGCTGTGTCTTTCGAAGCTCCTGAGTGGCCCCTAGGCGCAGACTCTTTTCCTACAGGCGCAGCAGCAGCTGCACTCTTAGAATGAGCTGCAGCGTCTTCTTCTGCGGCAGCAGATGCAGTTGCCTCGGGAGCAGCAGCAGCCGCGGAAGGTGGCAGCGGGACGGAGATAGCAGCCGCTGCAGCAGCAGCAGCACTCGCAAGAAGGGGAGACCCCTGAGGCGGAGGCAGGAGAGGCGTCCCCGGAGAATACAGCATCCCGCCAGCTGCTGCTGCTCCTGCTGCTGCTGCTGCTCCTGCTGCTGCTGCCGGCAGCAACTGCGCGACAGCGGGGGCTGCTGCAGGACGCAAAAGACTGCCTGCAGGTGACTGCGCCGTAGACAGTGTGCCGAGCTGTTGCTGCAGTGCAGCAGCTGCTGCAGCTGCTGCTGCAGGGTGGCTTGCGGAAGCTGCCCGCTGCAGCTGCTGCAACGCTGCGTTGCTGCTGCCATCGCTGCTAAGAACCGCCAGCCGTGCAGCGAGCTGCACTCCATCCTGTGGAGTCTGCATCTGTTGCTGCCTCTGTTGCAGCAGTTGTTGTTGCATCAGTTGCTGCTGCAACAGCCGCTGCTGCAGCAGCTGCGGAGGAAACTGCGCGGCGCCGCCTAGACGGCCTTGCAGCTGCTGCTGCTGCTGCAGCTTGCTTTGCAGCTGCTGCAGCTGCTGCAACTGCTGCAGCTGCTGCAGCTGAGCTTGTTGTTGCTGTGTCTGCTGCGCTTGCTGCTGCTGCGCTGGCTGCGACTGTTGTTGCTGCTGCTGCTGGAGTTGCTGCAATTGCTGCATCTGCTGCTGCTGTTGCTGCACCTTGACTTGCAAGTGATGCAGCTGGAAGTGCTGCAGCAGCTGCTGCTGTCGCGCCTGCAGGAAATGCTGTACCGACGCTGCGTGAAGCCCCGCCGGTAGCTGGCCCTGCTGCTGCTGCTGCTGCTGTAGCTGCTGCTGTTGCTGCTGTATCTGCTGCAGGAGCTGCAGTTGCTGCTGCGTGTATTGTTGCTGCTGCTGCTGCGAAGACTGCCCTATGAGCTGCTGGATCCCGCCAGTCAGCTGGCCCTGCTGCTGTATCGACTGCGTCTGTTGCTGCTGCTGCCCGTGGGCTGTAGCTGCCTGCAGAGAAGATGCGCGTTGTTGGAGCAGCAGCAGCTGCTGCTGCTGTGACGCGTGCTGCTGCAGTTGTTGCTGCCGCTGATGCAAAAGGAGTTGTTGCTGCTGCAGCTGCTGCTGACTTACGCCCTGGGGTTTGGACTGCTGCTGCTGCTGCTGGTTCTGGAGGTGCTGCTGCAGCAGCTGCTGCTGCAGCTGATGCTGAAGCAGTTGCTGCTGCAGTGGCGGATAAGCCGGGAGCCTCGAAGGCGAGGGAGGCTTCTGCTGCTGCTGCGCCGTGGCGCTGCCGCTGCTGCTGCCGCTGCTGCTGCCGCTGCTGCCGTTCCCGCTGCCTGGAGACTGGGCAGCAGCTGTTGCAGCAGCAGCGGCCGCCAGCAAACTTGCTGTAGCCGCCTGCTGAAACTGCTGCTGCTGCTGCTGCTCGGACCTGTTGCCGTCAGCAGTCCAAGCACTGCTGCATCCCGCAAGAGCAGCTGTTGATCCTGAGGCTGCTGCTGAAGCAGCGCCAGAACGACTCCACAGAGGAACCCCCAAAAGCAGCTGCTTTGTCTGCAGCAGCGGGCTGCCTGTAGCGGCAGCTACAGCAGCAGCCGCTGCAGCAGAGGCCGTGCCGTTTGCGCCTCCCCCCGAGGGAGTCAGAGCGCTCGCATTGCTGCTGCTGCCACTGCTGCTGCCGCTTGCCCA